AAAACCGCCCAGTTCTATTATGCCTATTCGTAATGACAGGAGTAGTGATCACATTTAGTAAGTGCCTCCTGTGTGCCGGGCACTGCGGGAAGGACTTCCTGTTCTTTAAGTGTCACCCGACCACAGTCCTACGAGTGTAGCTGCTACTCTCAGGTCAAGATGAGAAGCCGAGACCATGGAGGCAGCGTAACTGGCACAGGTCCCAGCAGGGTTGGGATCTGAGTCCGACCCCTGGGCCTTGGGCTCGGCCACCCGCCCCCTGGGGTACAGCGTCTCAGAAGTGCTGGGTGACGCCGTGGAGTGAGTCCCCAACTAGTCGCATCTGATGGGCCCCAGGCGCTGACCACGGCCACCGCTGGGAGCCAGCCCAGCCCGTGTCCATGGGCTTGGGCGTCTCACACAGACCGGCTGTTGACTGCTCGGGCTAACGGGAGCTTTTCTGTGTTGACAGGGATGCTTCCTTCGGAAACTGCACGTACAACCTCACCATCCTCGACTGTTTGCAGGGAATCAGAAAGGTAACCCAGCTCTCCCGGCTGCGGCCACACGGTTGTTTCAAACGTGAAAAGGGAACCATGCCCCTGCCCTGTGTGCTGCGGGGAGGAGAGGGCGTCGGGGCAGAAGGCTTCCTCTCCAACGATGATCGGTCTGTAAATGGAGGCCGTAGGGCGGTCGCGGCCGGGCCTGGCCGCCCTGTCGCTCCTCTCAGCAGCGGAAGGGGCGCCCTCCCATTGCAACTGCTCTGGGCAGCTGTCCCCCGTCTGTCTGCTGCGGGGCCTGGGCATCAGCGCCATCAGCCAGGTGACCCAGCGACCTGGGTGGGAGACACGAGTCCCAGCTGCTCCCCACCCCCCCACCCCCTTGCTGGCCTGGAGGACCCCACCTGGCTCTCTCTCTCTCGATGTTTATGTTTTTATTGATTTCAGAGAGGAAGGGAGAGGGAGAGAAACGTCAGTGTTGAGAGTCACTGGCTGGCTGGTCATTTCATCGGCCTTTGCCCACCCCGGTGTGTAGAACGGAGAGGCTAACCTGAAAGATGGGAGAATTTGGGGACATGTTTTAGCTATAACCTTGCTGGTATGTTGCATGTTGGAGACAGAAGTAATTTTACACACAAGTCACGCAAATGGCCGTGAGAGGTCTCCTGAGGGACACACCGTCATGTTTTGAGTGTGTCGTCCCCTGTGAGACGGGCTCAGAGCACGAAGGCTGTGCGAGGAGCGAGGGCACCGGCGCCGGCAGGAGCCGCCTCCGCTCAGCGTGGAAACTGACCCCCCTTCTGCTTCCAGGGATTGCAGCACGGATTTTTCGACTTTGAGACGTTCGACGTGGATGAGTACGAACACTACGAGGTGGGTGCGCGTCCGTGTTTGTGGCTGTGATCTGTGATCACGCGTGGGTGACGTGGTGCCCGTGGGGTGGCCGGCAGAGGACAGCGCCCTGGCGTTTCCCCGGGTTGTCGGTGTCTCCTCTCAGCTTCGACTGGGAGCCATCATTTTGGTTTCGGGAAACGCCGGATCTCTGTATCTTCTGCTGTCGAATCTTTATTGACAATTACTTTCCATCTTCCTGAGAAAAATAATCGCACAGTTTGGTAGTGAAATTGTAAGTTACATTTATTTGAAAATCCGGGTTCTTTTGAAAACAAAACTGGACGGTTGCCTTGTAATACTTTGCCGACACCCGTTTTTACTCGGAAACGCGGCTGCATCTGCTCAGGGGGAAACAAGTCCAAAGGCACTGAGGTCAGGCCCTGCCCACGCCCCCTCCCTCCCCCGGGGGCCCGTCCAGGGCAAACCTGAACTAATAACCCGGAGTGGATGATTCGGAGCCAAACGGCGCGGAAACTTAATTAACCAAATGCCTCGAATATTTACTTTGCCTTAAGCTCATCAAGTGCCAGTCGCCCCGCATGTTGTGTTGACGGGATGCTCTCTCACTGTCAGCATTCTTTTCAATGACAGTGACATTCAGTATTACTTTGCATTAGTTTCAGGTGTAGAGCATAGTGGTTTCAGCGATTCTCAACCTGTGGGTCGCGACCCCTTTGGGGGTCGAACGACCCTTTCACAGGGGTCGCCTAAGACCATCGGAAAACACATATATAATTACATATTGTTTTTGTGATTAATCACTATGCTTTAATTATGTTCAATTTGTAACAATGAAATTGGGGGTCACCACAACATGAGGAACTGTATTAAAGGGTCGTGGCATCAGGAAGGTTGAGAACCACTGGGTTAGACAGTCGTACTTCATAAAGAAAAAAAGACTGAGTTCCGTCTCTTTGGTTTTCAGAAGTCTTTGTGGCGCTGTTAAACCTGCATGTACATCTATGATGGCTGTTCTCACATGTAATGTCGCATTTTCTTTAACGGGTGCCTTAGTTTGCGCTCCTGTAAGAAAAACACCATAGACCACGTGGCTTACGCAACAAACACTGATTTCTCTCAGTTCCGGAGGAGGTCTGG